CGCCTCCCCTCCTCCACAGTTGCTCATCGTTCACCGCCTACACCACTGGCTGGGCCTCCTCACTAGTGGAGGCCAAGGTACCAGGCTGCCGGGCGCCATCAGAGACTTTAGGCATCGGGACCAGCTTTCCTCCCTCGCCTTGGGCCTCTCAGGGCACAGCTGTTCGAAGGGAGCCAGACTTTGCCAGGGCCCTTCCAGAACACGGTGTTCTCTCTTCAGAATCAGTCTCACAGTCAGCTTTAGAAGGGTGGAGGATTGAAGAATATGGTGGTTGCTCCGAGTGCTTTTCAAAGCCTCTGCATTTTCCCAGGCTCCACAAGGGGGTCAGCTTAGAAAGAGACTTCTCGAATCCCGGGCCACATTCTGGATAAACCAGTCTTCTCACAAACTAAGCCATTCTTTGGGGGAAGTTGTTGCGTTCTTCCAATGATGAGAGCAATGCAAATATGTGACCAGGTTTCTTGTTTGGGAAGGGGCCTCTGGACCAACCATCCAAGGTGCTGTTGGCAGTCAGCCCCACTGCAGAGCCTGGGAAGCACCCAGGCCCTCCCGTTTGTTCCAGGGAAGCCCAGTCTCAGGGCAATGGGATTTAGGACATCCTTGTTTCCTGGAATTTGCCTGTTAGCAATGGTTGAGGAACTTGAGTGTTGAATAGGGAAAGAGTTGGCTGAAAATCATTTGTGGAAAAAACTGCTAATAGTGCAAACATTAATAAGAAAGTCTCTTTCTTTCTCTGTCTCTTTTAGTGTCTCTCTCTCCCTGTATCTGTCTTTTTCTGTGTGTGTCTCTCTCTCTATCTCTGCCTTCCTCTCTGTCTCTGTTTCTTTCTCTCTCTCTATCTGCTCCCTGTCTGTCTGTCTGTCTCTCTCTCTCTCACACACACACATGCACACTGTTTTCTATTTGAGAATATCATTGCTGTTGACTTTCAGAATTGACTGATTATCTCTTTGGGCAACATCTTATCCCCAAGTCAGGATCTCAACCAACTCAAGGCAAGAAATCTTTTCTTTTTTTAATTAAAAATTTTTAATCTTTTTTTAATTAAAATTTTTAATTAAAAAAATAAACATTTATTTATTTTTGAGAGTGAGAGAGACAGAGTACGAGCAGGAGAGGGGCAGAGAGAGAGAGAGACACAGAATCTGAAGCAGGCTCCAGGCTCTGAGCTGTCAGCACAGGGCCCGACGTGGGGCTCGAACTCACAGACCTCAAGGCAAGAAATCTTAAAACGATGGTTGTACTTTTTTTCTGAAGCTAGGAAAAACAGATGTTGTCAGAGGGGTAAAGTGGTTTAAAAGTTCCAGATAACTCCTATAGTGTTTGACCTTGGCAGAATCCAGCCCTTGCGGCCATGACGTACGTACACATTATAAGGGCAGGCTCCAGGGGCCAAAGGGATGGAGTGTTGTGTGGGGGTTTGGGGACCCCCCAAAGGGACACAGTGCTTCCTTTGGGCCACCACCAGGGGGCAGAGGTTCCTTGCCCTGGAGCCATGAGTCTGAAACCAGCCAGGCTCAGAGCTATCGCTCTTTTGCACAACTCTGGACAGTGCTGATTTATTTAATCCCACCATTCAAAGCAGAAACTATGACCACGCAAGTTTTAAAAACACAACCATTAGCTCATATGTACCCAGGAAAACAAGGCTGCTCGACTAAGCCAAAAAGTTAACAGGGATTTCCTGTTAACATTTGTTTGCCATGTGTGTCCTTGCTGCGCTTTTAAAAGCGGTAACGTCGCAAACGTCACCAAAGGGAAGTTCAGTGGAAAATAATGGAAGAACTGCTCTTCGCTAAGTTTATATTTTCTGCACCTTGGGAAAAAGACTGCTCTCATTTGGTTTTACCACTAGGGCACCCATGATTTATTTTAACGTGATGCACCATTGATCTAATCCAGGCTTCTCAGAGTACCTCCCCTACCTTCCTCCTCTCCCCTCCCCTCCCTCCCTTTCCCTTCCCTTGTGTGCCTGGGAAGCAACATGCTTTCCCCTTCCTTCTAACTTGGTCCTGCCGGGCTGATGCTACCATGGTACCGGTGGGTAAGAGCTAGCCCTCTGTGCCATAAGGTGCTCCGTTTCTGCTGTTAATGCCCACGATTCCTTCCTCACTGACAGTTTTCTTTTTGTCTCTTTCTCTTCCTCCTTTATCTGCCCCACTCCCGTAACTCATTTCTGACCCTAACCCTGCTCCCTTGCGTGTGCGCCGCCCCTCTGCCATCCCCTGATGGACACACACTCACTGCTGGGCTTTCTTCTGCTTGGCAGGGCATCGCCGCTGGCGTAAGTAGACCCCACAGTGTCTGTTCCGTCGTCGTCGTCGTCGTCATCGTCGTCTGTCTGGTTGAGGGATGGTGTGTGGGTTTGGTGGGATATGCCTGAGGACAGTGGTTCTGTCCATGTTCTTCCTCACACCCACCTCACAGCCAAACGACATGCTCAGCAGCCTATGCAGGCAAGTGCTTTGGGGCTTGGCCTCAACTAATGTCACTGTGGACACAGAAATCAGAGTGATGACATCACCCCACCTCCCTTGCACCCAAGGCTGGAAGAGTATCTCTGTGCTGTGCTTTGCGGGGGCTCCCGGTAGCCTTTCCTGTCTGCACTGGGACAGCATAGACCTGAATGTCTGAATGCACACTGGACCATTATTCAGGGAAGAGGGCAATGAGGGGGCCCTTGGAAGCCATTTCCTAGGACCCTCACGGGAGGTGGATCTGGAGGAGCCAGCACCTGCCAGTACCACCCATGGGAGGTGAAAGATGAGTCAGTTTTGGGGAGCAGCGTACAGTGGAATTAAGTGTCCAGAGGTGACCTGAATGTTGTGGTGACTGCGGAATGTTTTCGGTGGCAAGAAGACCATACTGGGAGTGGCTCCAGAGTAACCCCAGATCCAGGGTCCCAGGACTATAGGGCCTATACATATTCTCCCTGAAGCCCGGAGTCTCAAAAGGAATGGGAATTCCTTCATCTGACCCCCAGTATCTGTCGTGGCAGCAACACAAGTCCCTGGTCTTTGCACAGCATTGTGGGAAATGGTGCCAATAATGTGAGTCCCAGAGGACTCACTACTGGGAGCTTTCTCGAGCCCTTGGAGCTGTGGAAGGAACAGGGGAGCGCCTCCAGGGCATGTTCTGGAGAAATGGCAGCAAACACCTTCCGTCTGCTTTCTGGACCACAAAGCTGTGTAGCGAGGCTCAAGGGCAGGACCTGGGCTTGGGTCTATACTTTCTCTCTCCCATAGCACAATCCACACTTCCTCCTTGCCTTCTGGCAGACCAAGGAGCCCTGGTTGTGCGTTCCTACTGCACCTCTCACCCAGAGGTAGCGGATCCTGCCTCTGCTTTGGGAGCCCTTGGGACTCCTCCTTATGCCAGAAATGGCTTCTCCCAGTGAGACCCCACTCTCTTCTCTGCTCTGTGGGCAGCTCCAGGATCCTCCCTGCTGGACCCCAGAGGGATCCGCTGGTCTTCCCCATCTGATCCCAGGCTGCCAGTACCTGTAGCTCTCCAGGGCAAGGCAGAGCCTTCAGGGCAGTTGGGGTGGGGGCTCTGCCCCAGTCTTGGCCACCTTTCATCACCTTCCTCCTCTCTGTTCTCAGAGCATTCTCTGAGCCAGACACTGGGGACCAAGCCTAGAAAAGCAGGCCAATGCTTGCATTTAGCTCCTTGCAGAGAGGCTACAAGACATGGGCACTGGAGAGGTCCCTCTCCTAGCCAGCTGGCCCTCTGGAAGGCAGGCAGAGGCAGTGGACAGAGTAAGTGTCTGAGCCGGGCCATGTTTCCAGGCATGGAGCATCTGGGGTGCACAAGGCCCCAGTGGGCAGAAGTGGCCTTTCTGAGCCCACATCACTGCAGTTTGATGGAAAGGACAGTGGGTGGGGAGCCAGGAAGCTTGAGTTCTGACTCAGCAAGGCCCCTACACCTGGAGCTAGTCGGTCAGCCGCTCTGGACCTCAGTTTCAGCATCTGTAAGAGGAGAGTGCTGGGCCACTGGTCCATAGGGTAGAGAGCCAGGCTGTGCTGGCTGAGAACTCATCCCAAGTCCACCCTGATTCCTGGAAGGGTAGGTTGGAGGGTCCAGAACCCTCCAGCCCTTGCCGGCCAGGGTGAGTGGGTACCCCACAACCTGCCTTGCAGTCTGGTTAAGGCTAGGAGGCACTGGACCCAAGAGATTCTGTGGTCCCTTGTGGCTCTGCTGTAGGATTCATTCATTTAAGTAAGTTTTGAGCACCTGCTGTGTGCAAGACACTGGGAGTCTGAAGGAAGGTCACCAGGTTCCCCTCCAAAGGCTGCACTGCCCTGGAGCAGAGGAAGAATGATCCTTCCTTTAGATCTTCCCCCAGGACCCCAGGCCAGAACCACCTTGCCTCCCCCGTCTGCGGGCAGTTCCAGACCACACAAGCCTGGTTGCCTTGTTTCTCACACCACCTCTCCACCAAGCCTGCCCATTTTTGCTGAGCAGAAGTCCCAGTCCACTTTTAGGGCAGGCTTGGCATTGGGGGCTCACTGTTGGGGTCCAAAGGTACGAGGAGGACAAGGAACTGACCCTGAAGAAACCTGAGTCCCCCGAATGGTCTGTTGTCACCCTGCCCCAAACTCAGGAGCTGTTCAGGGAGGTTGAAATTATTTCAAAAGACCTATTCTGCCTCCTATTTCCTTAAAGGAGATCCCAAGGGGGTGGGGCCTGGGATGTGGATGGGTCTTCAGGCCTGTGCCTAGGGTTAGCCCGGGGTGGGGCAGAGGTTTGCCAAGAGGGATCTCAGAGGAATCACCGTCTCGCTTTGGCCACCCTGAGCACTGAGGACCCAGGCCAAGCCCTTGTCTCAGGCTTTCAGATGGCAGTGGGTAAAGGGCATGGGGGAGGGGGGTTGAGGCAAGTAGGGGCCACCAACCGGTGTGCCGGGTGTGGGGGTGCGAGCAGATGAGCCATGGGGGTAGTGGAGGACAGGAGCAGGGTTCCAGCCTAGCCCTCACTCACGGCCTCTTTCTGCCTTGCAGGAGCCTTCCTATTAAAGACCTTACGGTGGACAGCGCCTCTCCCGTGTACCAGGCGGTGATTAAGAACCAGAACAAGCCAGAAGATGAGGCTGATGAGTGGGCCCGCCGCTCCTCCAACCTGCAGTCTCGCTCCTTCCGCATCCTGGCCCAGATGACAGGGACGGAATACAGTAAGTGAGGCCGGGGTTGGAGCATGAGAGATGCTGAGGGGCCCTGAGGGCCCTGTCCCACAGTCCTAAGGCCCACAGAAGCCAGGGAGTCAAGCCCCCTGACCCTTGAAGATGAGCTGCTTTCCACAGAGAGCTAGCGATGTGCTGAGCCCCTCTGGGCCCCTCGGGGCAGGTTACTGAGTGACACCGGCCTTCTGCCCAGCTCCCTGACTCCAACATTAGGCCATACGTGTGCCAGGTGGCTTGTGGGCAAAATGATGGCCCAGAGCTGGGATAAGAGGACCTCAGAGGTCTCCCTCCCAACTGTACCCTTTCCTCTGTGTCCCCCTTCTCCCCCTGCCCTCTGCCCAGCACACAGCATTTCCCTGCCACCATTTTCAGGTTAGGGGCAGTAAATTGTTCCGTTATTGGAGGGGACTCAACGTCCATAGCTCTGGAGGGTTTTCTTCCTATGTTTCCTGAGTCCTCCTGATCAGCAATTTTCTACCCACAGTGCAAGATCCTGACGAAGAAGCTTTGCGAAGGTCAAGGTAAGTGCCTGGACTCAGGCTCAGTGGCCTTGTCCCTCCTAACCCAATCCCTCCCCAGGCAGACCCTAGGTCACATGAATCATGGAAGGAACCTCTCAAGTTCATGTATTTGGAAGCTCCTGGCCCCTAAAGGGCCCCAGCAGATGCTGGCTTGGGGCCTTCGTCCCAGGTCGCTGAGGTAGGTGCCTGGAGCTGTCTCTAACCCCTGGGCCCAGGCTTTAGGAGTAATGATTCTGGGCTCTCCTGGCTCTGTCCCTGGGCAGAGGCAGGGCTGCTTTGGCCTTTGCTGGGCTGTTGAGAATGAGGGCATCTCTCCCTGTGAGGGCACCGGGCTGGCTGCCTTGCCTGCCCCACTCATCTCAGGGTCTGTCCCCTGTGAGTCTGGAGGCTAGGCACTGGAAAGCAGGCACGGGGAGGGCTGTGCTGGGCATGGGCATCTGACCTCGGGATCCACCTGTCCAGACCTATGCTAATGTAGTAGTTCCATAAATCGCTCAAAGCACAATAGCTCTGCTAGGAAGGACAAGCCTGGGCGTGAGAAGAGGCTTCTGCAAGGCGAAGTGTCTCAGGGTCTGGTCTCCCACCAGTGGCAGGCCTGGGACCACAACTGCTAACCTACCACCTGCATCCTGCCAGGTGCTCATGAGCCTGGGCATGAGGGGGGCACGCTGCCCTGGAACCCACTGGAACCTGCTGGGGCCTTCCATGGTGAGGCATGGAGCCCCTGAGGATTGTGTTTCTACTTCCGGCGGCAAATGTTGTGCATGCTCTTCTTGGGAGAGTCTGCTTTGGGCCAGCACGTCCTTGGGCGGCCTCTCCGCACGGGACTGGGGCTCAGAGGTGCTCTTTTACCTGGGGCCAAGCTTTCTATACTTGCTAATCAGCATGTAGTGATCACAGGATCGTGTGGAGAATGGAGCTCTGGGGTCAGCTCAGAGTTGATGTAGATTTCATTTTTGAACCTATATTTTTGCCAATCTAAGCTGCTTCCACTTTTTGGCTGGGGCACCCCAGCCTAAAGTGTGGTCCCCCAGGCCTGCTAACGATGGCATGCAGTTCCAGTAACGGTTCTTAACCCTCCAATGCCTGCAACATGTCTACACAGAGCCTGAACTGAGATGATGCGTGATTTAGCTCAAAAGTTAGTATCTAGCTATTTTAAGTGTGACTGAGCCCTCAGCGGTCCTGCTCCTGTGCTCTGTGGCTCCCGCGTGCTGTTTCTGTTTTTTCCACCTTCCTCCTTGAAGCCACCCATATACACCCGGGGAGGAATGCAGCTCACTGATAGAGGAGTCTGACAGCCCCCCACCCCTCACCCCCAGCAAACAGCTTAAGCATCCCTAGGTTCCTTCCATCAGGAAGCCAGCAGGGTGTTTTCTCTCCTTCCCATGAGACAGATCCTTGCCTTTCAGGCCCTGACCGTCTCCTCTAGAGCACTTCTGGTGACCAACCACTCTGAGCTCACACCTCATTAACCAGACACCATTTAGAAGGTGGAACTTCTGTCTTTTGTGTTTCCCCTGGAGTATTTTCAGGCTCTGCAAAGTTATTGAGTGAGAACACAAAAGACAGTATTAAAGGCAGTCTCCAGTCCTCATGGGTCATTCCCTCCTTTTAGAAGCATCTCCTCGGTACTGTTCTGCCCAGTCCTGTGGATATGAGGGCAGGCTCGTCTTTCCCCCCACGGCCTAACCCCACAGGAGCATGGCTTAGCCCCCAGCAGAAGGCACAGGACCTTGGGGTCTTGAGAACTCTGCTGCAGGTTTTAGAGCCTCTCCCTCAGCTACTGCAGGTGTTTCTGTAGGGAAATCTGGAAAGAGGGACCAACAAGAGGCTCCATCCTGCTTTCTCCCTCAATTCTACCCCCCCCCAATTCTACCCCCCAGCTCAAAGCAGCTCCCCCTCCTCCCACAGGCTGAATCGCTGTCAGCCCTACCCTGGGATCTCTGGCCCTGCGGTGAAGGCTTTGGGGACACCCAACAACCCAGGACTGGAAAGGCATAAGCCTTCTGCTCCTCTCCCTTTTCCTGACTGTAATTTCTGGAAAGTTGTCCTCAAAGCCTTCCCCCAAAAGCCTATTCCCCCCACGGCCGTAGGAGGGGGTGGACATTTTCATTTGAATTACAAGCAGCCTGAGGACCTGAGAGTGAGGCTTGTAGTGGGCGCAGTGGTTCAATTCTGCTTGTGATTAAAGTCTGAAGTAGTGACTGTGGCCACTGGTCACAGCAAGGGCCCCGGGCTGCCCAAGTGGCCCACTGAGAAGAAGGGATCATGCTTGTTCTCACCCTGGGTCCGAGCTGGTCAGGGTCCTTGCTCCCCAGGGGGCTAAGCCCCAATCCCAGCCTTCCCCACTGCCAAGTCGGAAGCTGCACTCCGAGACCCTGCTGACCCATCTTGTTGGCTGAGGGTAGCTGGCCTCCTCTTTCTCCCAATTTAGCAGCACTGACAGGAAGGAATCTTAGGGTCTCTTAGGAAGGCTGCCTCCCCAGGGTGGGCTTCACTGCACACTGCTGCCATGTAGCTGACTCCCACAGAACCTGAGTTTGCCAACCCTGGGGCCTGGCAACCTGTCCAAGGTGACAGATAGCCTCTACAGGCTTGTACGTGTGCAAAGGTGCTTTCTTCTTCCTGTCGCCGTGTGGTGGGGAGATAGGCGGGAATGCCATGGTGTCAGGTGTTCTGTACCAGGTGGCGTCACTGGTGGCCTCGGGGGCAGGTGGCAGTCTGTGTGGCCGAGGACCCTGCAAACTCTCCCCTCACCTGTCTCTGCTCCACCTCCCAGGCCTCCCCACCCCCAACCCTGAACCCTGTAGAGTCCCAGAGCAGCTCAGAGCCCTGCCCTCTTCTTGGGGTCCTGGCTCCTGACACTCAGGGTGTCTCCAGTACCTGGTAGCAGGTAGCTTCTCTCTGAGGTTCCAGTGCCCACGTGCTGGCCAGCCCTAAGCAGAGCCTAATCTCCAAGGACCCTATCCTTACAGGTGAGGCAGGCCAGGTCCCTAAATAGCCCAGGCACCTGCTGTGGACTTGGCTCCCCTCTCAGGAAAGACCCCAGCACGTCAGCAAACTCTTCAGGCAGGCTTAGACTGCAGCCCCCTGCCGGCTCCTGCACGGGTGCAGGTAATACTGTGGTTCCTGGCCTCCATCTGAAGTAGCGTGAACAGTGCCTCCATCCAAAAGCCAAGCCTCTAATCTCAGAGAGGTCACAGAAGCTTCCCCCTGACTTGGGGAAGGCACTCCAGGGGTCGGATGGCTCAGAAGTTCGGCTCCACGTTGGGCAGCCCTGACGAGGATGGGAGTGGGGGCAAGCCTCGCTTTGTCCTAAGCAGGGCTTGAATCTTTGAGGCATGGGGTTCCCGCTGCTTGGGTGTAACCATCCCAGAGGAATCCGGTGGGAAACCCAGACATCCTCTGACCCCCACCTTCTAACTCAACTGCCTGTAAGAGCAGTTTCTGCATTTACCCAGTGTTCACCTGTGCAAAGAACTCTGTGCCTCTCTGAGACCCCAGATGTCAAGGAACACAGTTGATTTGAGCGACAAGTTCACAGAGGAGCTGAAGGCGAGGGTTGTCTTGCACACTCCTCCACCAACAGCGTAAAAACTTCCCAAGTCCCTTCTCCATCGTGTACCCTTCTGTGGTTCATTTTCTTCTCCCTCCCCTACTGCCTACGGAGCTCAGGGACTCATGCTCACTGGCTCCTCCCTGTAGTCCCTGTGGCCTCCCTGGGCACCTCAGTGTCCTCTTTCCTCCCTGTGCACAGCCAGCTCAGTCCCAGCTCCTGTGGCTGAGTCTCCCGGTGCCAGCACAGCCCAGAGCCCTCCCTCCAATGGAAACTTCATGAGGATAACAAAACTTACCTGAGTTTTGTGGATTTTTCATTCCGGGTGTCCTGCCTAGCAAGTTTGAAAACCACACCTGGAGAACCCAGGACCCCCCTGGGGTGTCCCTGAGAAGCCCTTGTGGGGTGTCCCAGTTCTTCTCATCCATTCTGTTCTGCCAGCTCCCTTCCCTCTCTGCCCCGTCTCTTCCTTCCTCTCCCGGCTCCTCTCTTTGGCAGGCTGTGAATTTACAAACAGCTGCAAGCAGAGCAGGCTCACTAGGGTCCACTGACTCTCCAGGACTGTCTCTGAGCCCGTCACTGAGCACCGATGACAAAGGCTGTGGACCTGGCTGGGCAAACTGGTCACACCCGTGTCCTGGGTGGTCTCTATGGGATGGTCGATTGTTGCCACTCGTAGTGCTATCGGCAGGGCCCCCGCTTCTGCTCTCTTCCTTCCCTCCCTCCCTCCCCAGCTTCAGAGAGGCAGGCAGCAGGAGATGCCCGGCAGGTGGATCATAGTTCTGCGGCTGAGTTTCTGTGCGGTTTGAGGCCATTCACATGATGTCTCTGGGCCTTGGTTTCTTCTTTGGTATCAGGAAAGTTTGGTCCCAAACAGTGGTTTTCAAGTATGTTGGCAGTGGGCCCATTTTGTCTAACAGAATCTTCTACAGAGACACAATATCAGGACTTGAGGTGTAGCGAGGGAGTCTACCTCGTAACGTAGATGTGGGAAGGGGGCAAGGTGTGTATGTGGGGATGCAGAGCTACTGGGGAAACGTAAGACCAGCATTGCCCCATCTCTGTTTTTAGAGACCTAAAGCGGGTCTTCCTGGTTTTTATATGCTGGCAATTCACTTCTTGAGCTACTTATTTTTAGATAATTGCAGATTTGGGCACGTAGTTGTGAGAAATGATATAGAGAGATCCTACGTTCCCTTTATCCCCCAATGGTAACATTTTGCAAAACTATAGTAAAATATCACAACCAGGCTGTTGACACTGGTAGAGCCAAACACAGACTATTTCCATCACCCCAAGGATCTCCTCCTGTTGCCCATTTACAGCGACACCCACCTCCCTACCGTGGGCACCCTCTCCTTAACCTGTGGCGACCACTAATCTGTTATCTGTCCTCCATTTCTATAGTTTTATCATTTCAAGAAGGTTATATATATGGAAT